TTAAACATCATAGATTTTTTTAGTTCATTTCTTTGACATAAATTTTGTATTGAGTACTGTTGTTTTGATCAATGTCATCATGTTTGCTTTGGAGGCCTCTATATTATATACCTAAAAAGAGAAGTGCTTCAATGCTTCGATTTATATCAGGAAACTCTTCTGATGTACTTTACAAAAATTTCAAAAATAAAAATAATCTCAAATTGTTGGGGACCAAAGAAGGTTCGAGAAAGAAAGCCTCTTCAAGAAGGAAATCAAAAGAAGGAAGCAAAGAGAGAGATTTTTTGAAAGAGAAAAAGAGAAAAGAGTGACCGGTGATCTCGATCCATGGGGTGATTTGGGAGATCAATATTCTTTTACTATCAATTCTTGTCAAATATTAGCTTGAAAGCATGCCTCATCTATGGACAGATGTATTAACATTATGAACTATATTCATTCAGCATAGTAGAATGCAAGTATGTTTCTTTTTTGGGTAATTCAGTGCGGATGACATGTGTCTATCCGTTTTTTAATTAATTTGTGGTTCTTGAAGCTATTAATGAGAATGAAAGCCACGTCATGCAATTGAAGTATGTGGTGTACTAACACCACGGCCTCAGCCCTTTTCCTAGAGCATAAGTCATGATAGAGCAAATATGTGGTTTTGGCTCAGTAAATGATGTGACAATATTCTTCTGAAGTCGTGCTTCTTGAGCTTCTTGGCAAAATACTGGAGTCAAAAGCCTCAATTTTGCAGGTGGTCTCAGATTCTAGGAGACGGGCAGTGTGGGACATCAAATTGTGATCCAAGGCGAGAATGAAAATATAGCTTAGTATGCGGCTTTGCTAGAAATATTAAGTTCTTTCTACTGCCCAACCAAGGGTGGTGAATGTGTTTGGGAATTAATTCGAGAGGGAGTTTCCTCGGTGAAGCCTCTATAATTTAAAGGATTGTATACAATGAGGCCAATTATCTTTGTTGCAAAGAGGTCAGGCATTAGATATTAAATTGGATGGCTTAGGTGTGTCACAAAGTTCAATATTTTTTTTTTTTCAACTTTGAGACTAGTCAATGAAGCACTCACAAGCACCGGATCTGAAATCTGACAGATAGCTGGTGATTGTGGCCTTCTTGCATTAAAAGTAACTACTCTCTTTTTATATACCTGTCTATAATTTAATATCAATAGATAGCCAAATCCAAATGGATCAAGCAGAAGCCTGGATATTGCTGACCCCTCAGATCTCAAGCGTTTGCATGGGTTTGAATTCGCAGAAAAACTACAACCATTGATCATCTGAGGAAAAGGGGAATGATCCTTTCATATATTTTTCTATTGTTCAAGAGCGATGAAGAAACCTATGCATATAGTTGCTACATTGCCCTTTTGTTTACCCCTTATGGAGCCTGCTGTTTAACACACTTGAATTTAGCTGGGCATCTCCTAAGTCTATAAAACTGCATATTCTTCAATGGAGGCATTCCCATTTGCAAAGGGGGGAGGTTTGCTTGTGGAGAATTGCTTTGACCACCATAATTTGGGTTGTAAGGAAAGAAGGAATAATAGTGCTTTTGAAAGCAAAGTCCAAGCTATTTAGACTACCATGTTCTTTTGTGCCTTGCCTAGAAGGACTTCAAAGGGGTGTTAAAAAAAAGTTATGAAAATAAATGTATTCACTTATTTTTATTAAATATATAATTCTTAGATGAAAATATAAAATTACAAACAAAAAATATGTTGCACTCCTAATATTATTATTTATACTAAATATATATTTAAGTAAATATCAATTTATTACTATTTGACTAGTTAGTACTTGTAGGAGGAGGTAGTAGTAGTATTACATATAAATATTATAATTGTATTAACATAGTGCCATACCACAGTACTAAGACTAATATAATATTATCATAAAAATAAAATATTATAATAAAATAGATAATATTTTAGTATTAATATAATCTAGTAATAATACATTAAGATAACTAGCAAAATACACATACCATTATGTGTATTTTAGAAGGAAAATGCATTATTATTATTATTATTATTATTATTATCATTATTATTTTATTTTTTATAGTATTATAATAAAAATTATTAATTTTAAAGACATACCCTAACCCAAAAACTCTAATTTAAGAGAAAAGCCTATGTCTAGAAATCCTATTCCAATATAAATGCTAAATTCATAGATAAACCTAAATATTGTCCATCTCTCATAAACGGTAATTTTTGCAAGATTATGATGTCATTTAAAAGTTTTTGTAAAACTTTCTATCTCATTAAAAACAGACTAAACAGACTAAACATCCTATTAATTTGAAAATTATTTTTCATTAAAAACTCATTCTTAATTTGACGATTATCTTCCAAAGCATTATTTCAAGCCTTTTAGAAAAATATTCACATTTAATAGCACAGTAAATATCATCATCTTCAAAACCTTTTTCCAACTATTTGAAATTAACTACATGAATCTTGGTCTACTATTCTGCTTTATCAAGAGCACTCTCTGTAAGGCCATAAGTCTCCATATTTTTTCTCACTACTTCCAACTATGTCTTTTTGGGCCTACTTTTTACCATTTTCTAACCCTCCACTTGAATCAATTTGCATCTTCTAATAGGTGCTGAAAAGTAGAACCTATTAATTTTAATAATAACCATAAATCCTGTTAATTTCAACGTATATGCGTAAAAACATTCATACAGAGAGTGAGAGAGAGAGAAGCCCAAAAATTGTAGTTTTTTAAAACAAAAATTATTAATTTCAAAAACATACCCTAAACCAAAAGCTCTAGTTTAAGAGAAAACCTTGTTTCAAATAATCATATTAAAAAATAAATGCTACATTTCGATATAAATATAAATATTGTAAACATCTCATAAGCTGTAATTTTTACAAGATTATGGCGCGGTTTAAAAGCTTTACTAAAGCCTTTACCTTATAGAAAAATATTAAATTGAACACCTTGTTGATTTCATGATTGTCTTCCCTTAAAAAAACTACTTCTTATAGTAAAAATAAAAAAATCTATATATGAGAAAAAAATACTTGATAATCACACAACACTACATCTAACAAAATAATTTCTATCTTTGATATCATCTCTTAAAAGACAAATATTATGTTGTAGTGTTTTCATAAAAATACCGCATGTTATACTAGGAAATTTGTAAATGATAAACAAATATTAAAAAGTACCTGATTGTATCAATTTTCTCTTTCCAATCTTCTTACCAATCTCTTTCAATTTGATTGATCTTTTTTGTTTCTCTCATTTTTATGATCCGTGTCATTGGATTTTTTCATCCAGTCTTCTTTCTAATCTCTTTCAATTTGATTGATCTTTTTTTATTTCTCTCATTTTTATGATCCGTGCCATTGGATTTTTTCAATAAACCTTTGGACTCTCTCACCCCTTCATTATCTCTCTCGTATATTAGGGGCATGCTTCGTCTTCTTCCCAACCCCATTCACCATGTCTAAATCCCCCCAAATGCAATTCCCTCTCTCTCTCTTAGATGTAGTTAATAGGCACGCAGTCTCTCTCTATCTCTCTCCATCTTGGGTGCTTTTTTACGTTATCTTTAAAAAGATACACAGTGCCTCATGCAATCCCTCTCAAAAAAGAACATAATCCCTTTCGCAATGATACATTTAAAAGACATGTAACATATATCTCTCTCTTTCTCTCTCTCTGATATTTATCTTTATCTTTAAAAACACAAAATTTCGCTCTCCTACAAACAATTTTGACGTATTTAAAAAAGAGACCTATGCATAAAATTAGAACATTTAGGGGACACTATTTAAATACTGCTGAAATAAAAAGATAATTAACATTAATTTCATGTGACTAATTATTTAACTAAATAAGTTGCTCTGTTACAAATAGTAACTTATAATTAATGATAAATTATATTATATTATCAATTAAATATTTAAAAATTTGATATTTTAAAATTGTCCTCATAAAATGAAATTATTCTAATTGTGATTTTTTCAAAAAATATAGCATTTTATAAGAAATTTTCTTTTTCAAAAAATATAGCATTTTATAAGAAATTTTCACCTTTAAATAAACTATTGATGTCTTTATCAAACCTTCAAAATAGGTGAAGTTGGTTTTGACCATTGAATGCAGTGCTCAAATTTAATATGCACATGTGGTTAGTCTAGGATTAAATTTAGGCAATTTTAGTAGGTTTATGGGGCTAAACTAAGGGAAACCAACAAGTTTATACGGCCAAACAACTCTATCTACATACCATGACCTTTCCTCGAGGTGTTCCCAACTCTATCTACATACCAAAACCCTTTCCTCGAGGTGTTCACAAAAGAGTTTATGTATTTGTCAAATAATTTCAAAGCCCTAGTTTCATTGCATAATCCTTGTATTTTGATTAATCCAATAACTCACAAATCCTAAGATCATATTTGTAATGTTCAAATTGAAAAAGATTGTGGGCTTAACAAAGAATTCATCTTAGCCTATTTCAAAACTCTATTTCAAAATTCGAGGACGAATTTTCTCTAATTAAAAGAGACTAATGCAAAAAAAGCTAGCTCTTATTTTAAATTCTTCTTGTTTAATTTTAAGAAGGTACGTTTGGAATTTTTTTGGAGTATTTTTTGAAATTTTAAATTTTTTAAAAATATTTTAGGATTTTTAAATATTTTTTAGATTTTAGGAATTGTTTAGAAAAGTAGTTGAGATATTTATAAAATATTTTGTTTTATATCAAGGGCAAAAAATATCATTATAAACTTTGTTTTAATTAGGACCTCTATTTATACTAGAAGTAGAGTTTCTTGAGTTCTATGTAAGGTCTAAGAGAGATTTGAGTTACTACTTAGAAATTTCCTTGACATGTTGTGAATCCGGCAGAGCCATTGAAGCTAGGTATTGTTACCTTTTTTTAATTTTCTAATAAGTATATTATTTGATTTTCTTCCCCACAAAATTCTTTCCATATCGGTCAACTTTTTCATCTGAATGAAGCCCCCGAATTAACCACTAAAAATGATGCTATTATCAATTTATTCATAGTACTAATATACATGAACATTGTCTTGATATAGTACAATTGATGAACTTGGGAATCCATGTTTTACCATACTGGGTAAGCCAAGGATACGAACCTGAGAACTAAAGTACGAAGGCAAAAAGAATATGACGAATAGGTTTTGGCCCTCAGTCCCATGTACCTTGAAACCCTCGACCCGTGTTGGGAACTGCTCGATATCTTCACAAGTGATCTAGTTCCCTTTATCCAGTGTATAAGTTAGATCTGTTTTGGTCAATGAAACTATATAGGAACCAAGTATATGAACTTCATTTATCGATCTTCCCTTCGAACACGGTTGGGATCAGAAATCATGTCCATCATTATCTTTTCTGGCAAATCCTCCCAGCTTGTGAAATTTTTCAGGTCAACCTGCAAACAGCCCAAATTGCATTGAGTACATAAAAATATGAATATGGCTAATTAACGAACCCCACATAAAAATAGAATTATACATCCTAATTCTCTAAAACTCTTCCAAATTTGCGCCAACGATAATGATCAGAACAAGGTGCAAAAAGTTAGCAAAAAAGGCCACACACCATCATTGTTGAATAACGCTATACTAGGAAAAGAGCCCAGGCTTAATTAGTTAGCGTTTGATGATTTGCCCAAAGCTACGTCCTAGGCTCAATTCCTACTAAGGGTAGGAGCCCTCTTCCCACTGACTCACCCAAAAAAAATAATGCTATATTGGGCATAATGCCCAGAGTCTAGAAAATAACATGTTACTTCTCATATAACAGCCCAAGCAATTGCTGGTAAATGAAAATAACGCATTCTTGAACCTCAGTTGTTTGGCAGAAAGATCAAATTGAGGATGCTAACCTTGCGCCTCTGTTCTGCAAAAAGTTGTTCCCTTTGCTTGTATGAATCCTGCACCTCTCTTGCAACTTTTCCGCCCAAGCCCCACACTTCCACCTCTAGAATAGATGCCTCAACTGATAAAAACCCCTATATGATGACTACATTAGAGACCCAAAATGAACCCATGAGTTAAGAACTAACACAAAACAGCTCACACTTTCATCCCTTATTGAAACATCAGCTGTTTGGAGATTAAACTGTTCTTTTCTAAGATGTTCTGTTCAATGCCAAGTTCCAAAGCCTTACCTGATTAGCAATGAGAGAACCTGGCTTATAAGTTTTGTCCCCTGCATGATGCCGCACGGTAATTCTGGAGAAATCCTCATCAAGCACAACTCTCTCATTTCCAATACTCTCCCCAAATGCAATCCCAACTGGCTTTGGATGAGCTTCATATACTTTCTAGTGGGATGCAAATGGCTGTATACAAAGTTCTTCTCTTTTCCTGTTACATTAATATGCGGGTCCATGTCATTGGATATTCATCGAGAAAATGTCACAAGTCAATATGGTTGTATATGGAGAAGGAGCAAATACACGAAACATTGGGCTGATAGCATAGAGACATCCATTACTTCCATAGTAAACATCTTTATTTTCAAAACCCTGATAAATGAGGACCCCAATGATCCATTGTCCAACACCATGATGACTTTGGGAGCCTGAACTTGCAGATATCAGCATCAAAAGTGGTCCATGGTAACCTTCTACTTTAGCCCAGAATCTGTTCATTCCCTTACCATCCAAACAAGACCTGCAAGAACATGGCTAACATTGCAACTTGCAGTGAGAAAGTATAAACTCACCCATATAAAGATATGCAGACTAATAGCAATAACTTAAATATGGCAGCACAAACTCAATGATAATCATGTTAAAATCAGACTCATGCTTCTGCTTCTTCAGCATCTCCCTCCCTCCATCCGCCCCTCCCACACTAAATGATGCTATCATTACAGTATAAGATGTTTGCATAAGCAATAGTACACTCCATTTCAAACTACCATTGAGTTCAACAAGCAGCCATTTGCAAACATGGAATGATGGTGGTCTTTGTCAACTCCATTTGTAAGGAAATTAGAACATGCGGAGAAGGAGGCGGTTGAAGAGAAATGCCTCAGGAATTACTCTAAATAATTGTTAATTCACTTCTTGCATTCAATGTGCTTATGAAACACAAAATTGGTCTTTTTCAACAGCATTTATATTGTTGGAGATTCGAAACAATCCTCAAGTCATGTGCTAAACTTTGAAAGCACCATGTGAAGTTACATCAGATCAGTTTGAAAGTGCCCCTGAAATGAAGGTTACTCTAGGTGGCTCAGATTTTACAAATTCCATATGAGGCCAACAAATTTTCACCCTTCAACCCTATCAACAAAGACCTCATTTCTTTTAACTGAGCAATCGGATTCCTCCTTAATATTGTGTATTTGTTCTGAAGGGAGCCAGTTTTCCATATTGTTTTATAATGCTTTTTTTCCCCCTAATACTTCGCAGCAATTACTAGAAAAGCTTAAAAAATAGAAAAATAGTGTGCACATATAAAAATATGGTATTTTGATGTCTCCAATCCATTCATTCCCTGGACACTCTGTCTTTATCTTATTGGGTTTCTCATTAATTGGCCCCTCATGGGACAGGATGAATGTAGATGACATAATGGTATCCAGCACATTGTTGATCACCTAGGTTCTGGACCTTCCTCAGGCCATGACGTAACATTAAAGCAGCATCCCTTAACTACTTCAATTTTCAAACGCCTCAACTTATTGTATAGACCCTGTTCATTATAGAAATACAATGTTCAACAAATTAAAAAATGAGAAAGCGAACCTATAAAGGAGTTGCTGACATGTTCCAACACCCCTTTCAGGAAAACAGCATGTCTTTAGAAGCTCCTCAATCGAAAAGTCTCTCAAGGAAAGAGAAATAGCCCAGGCCCTTCCACATGTCAAAAGATGTCTATTTCGTGTATTGGCAGAGGATAAATCACCAACTGATCGAGAAGAAGGCTCAGAAACATCCTGTTCACATTTATTGGACTCCTGTTTGTGTGTATCAATCACAGTCATCACAAATTATTTGCTAGAATATGTTGAACCACTACATCTTAAATGTATGAAACAACTAATTTATGAAACAACTAATTTATAGAAGGTCAATAACATACAGATGTCATTCGACATGATTGCTAAAGAAGAAAATTTACACAACTTAAACATGCACAGATAGAGTGAAAAAAGGAAACAAAACCTGCTCTTACATATGTATTTATAGGTGTGCAGGTGTGCTTATGTATGTTTTCGAAGACAGAGACCCTAATGGTGAATTCTGCACAAATAATCAACATTTTTAAGTGAACCTATCATTCTGGCGCAAAACATTTTGGGTCAGGCCAATTTCTGTCTTGTCCCTGAAAATGACCAAACAATTACACAGCAAGTAATGACATTCAGCTTATATGTTGAATGTCAGCCCCATCTACAGAAGATATTTTGTCATTGTGCCTGATAATCATGGAGATTTTCTTACCCAAATACTTTTAGGGAACAAGAAATAGAGATTTGGAGTTTTTTAGAGAGAACTTTTTAGGAAGTTCTCTCTAAAAAAGTGGAGAACATTTGCAAAGTCCACTGTTAGACATCTGTAGGTTAGAAAACCTGAATATATGTACAGATGCACATGAAATAAGGTCAAAAAAAGAGTTAACAAAATATTGCAAACATAAGTAATCATGCAATTAATATCACATGAAATAGAGATTTGGAGTTTCCCATCAGTATCAGAAAATATCAACCATATCCATGTAACCTCAGAAAAAGCGGACAACACAAAAGTACAACTTATATATTCATTTTCTGTGCAGTCTATTTATTCCAATTGAATCTTAGGATGTCGATATTATATCCAGCTCACATTTTTCTATGGCAAATAACTGATATATACTTTCCCAGAAAGCTTTTTGTTCCCATTGTGAAGTATAGATCTCCTGAATCTACTTTCAACTAAAAGCCTTACAAAACAAGTACTCAACCATAGATTGCGAACAAGACCAAAAGCCAGTTATTTCATGAGATCGAAGGCTATATATCCATGGTGTATACATTTATTAATATTCCAATATGATCAAGAACGGGAGAAGGAACTAAGGCCTCCTGGTATTGTGATTCAAATACCCATCAAAGGTATTTGACGTATAAAGAGTATTCTTGCCTATTTTGACAATCCCCGACACAGAAGAAGCAGTTCAGGAATTGCCAAATATAGGACTATAGAAGTCGATTCAATAATAAAAAAATAAGATTTAATTCAATATCGAAAGACGAGAGTTTGGACCAAAATACCAAATCCAAATCAAAGTAAATCGATTTTTTTTCATTCCTGAAGAAGTGCATATGAACATTCAGCAAAAGAATGAGAATTGTACCTCATGGATAGAACTCAATCTTTGAAGCCTGTCATGGACATACCGACCAAGGCAGTTTGCAAGACCAGGAACTGTTGCCAGAGCCCACAAATGAAACTTTCCAATGGAAATCTGATCAGTACAAACTGAGACATCTTTACCCAAGATGTCCATATCACTGCCAATCTCACTGCATGACACCATGACTGAGAACACCAAATGGTTTATCTCTGGTAGAACCAAAGCAGCTTTGCCATTTTGTTCATCGCAAAACCTCAAAATCCATGGGCTATGTGCCATTATCCAACACATCCAAAGAAGCATATGCATATCAGCAGTTGTGAGAGACCCACTTACTTTACCATCAATGGAATCATCAAATAAAATTTCTGGCTTTGGAAGCATGTCAACCTTTGCACAAGTTTTGGAATACAGCTTGCACAACATGTTCAAAGAAACAGATGCAGGGTTTCTTCCACAACACCTAACAAAACCTCTCAAAAACTCAAACGATGAAATTTCTTCATTCTCTGTCTTGAAAAACTGGTCAATGACAGATGCACCCAGATTCTCCAATAACTTTGGAAAAGATTCAGGTATCGCAGATTCCTCTGATTCTAGTTTTGTACTCTGAATATAGAAGCACTCCTGGAACAAAACCAAACCAATATGAAGACCGAGATTAACAAAAAAAATCTATTGGTAAGAACAGAGATAAATTTTTCCAATTACCAAATGTTATAGTGTATTTATCAATAATACTAACATCATAAAAATAATCAGATCACTTTGTTTCGTCTTTTATCAATAGAAACACAATATGAAAACAAATGCATACTAACGTACAGTTCAGCTGCATCCCAAGTGATCCACCAAGGTGGACTACACATGCAACAGATCCACCAGCATGCCAATATCATACGTAAGTCATAAGATTTTGAATGATCTAAAAAGACACCTTTTTTTATCTTAATCGGATATCTAGAGGACAAATTGACCTAACATAGACATGTCTAGAGAATAGTGACTGCCAATCCAAGTCTTATTACCGCTCCTACAACCGTCTTCAAGTCTAGAGTATAGAAACATATACATTGGGACTGATAAACAAAAAAAGATATCATAAAGCATGAAATAGGCAATGGAAAGTTCTGGCTATCCTTAAGATATAATGCTAACTAAAAATCTGTATATTCTCCCCATCAATTAGTGATTAAACTTAATAAAACTCAGTGACTTGGACTCAGACTTGCCCAAGTCAATTGGACCTGGAAGGGTGCTTGATCTGGCTCCAAAACTTTGGGACTCGTTCGGGTCTCACTGAGTCAGGGTTCCTTTTATGTAAGTACCACAGAGACTTGAGGCTGAGCAGGACTGCTGACTCGGGATGGGGACACGGGCAAGTCCGAACCCGAGTACATGTTTTAAATCACTTGATGATACACAGTGATAAGAAAATTAAGAAGGCAGTACTAATGGAAATTGGAAATCCCAAAGACATTGAACTTGAGAACATTGGGTATGTAAAATTACTATGGTGTTAAAATGAACACTCTGGGCAGATAACCCATTCTTTTGTCTTTTCTTTTTCTTTTTTTTTTTGGTAATCGAGTGTATTGTATTAATATCATACATATTGCATTTAGTTTTAATGTTTACAAAGTGGTGACTCGCAGAACCTTTTTACTCCAACAGTGCCTGACAAAATTTTAGGAACTGGGGACAGAAAGGAAGTCAGATCAGAGAAGGAGAGAGAGCAAGCTTGTGAGACTACAGCACGAGATGAAGAGAAAGGGTAGGAGGAGGGGGAGGACAAAAACGATAGGGAAGGGGTAAGGTATGGGAGCTCTAGGAAGAGCTTCTCAAAGTAGCCAATGCTTCAATGTGTGATTCTGCACCTGGCTTAGCTAGATTATCAGCAGACTGATTTGCTTTTCTCCCAATAAGCCTGAAAACAACTTTGAGGGCCCGATGATAGTGAAACTTTGTTCGAAAAGTAGTTAAGCCTCATAGGGCAGGGGATGCTTTGGAGGCCCACCTACTAACATTTTCTGAATGCCCTTCCACTGTAGGGTTAGGACCCCAATAGTTGTTCTGGAGCTTCAGTACGTCCTGGGGCTATTGCTTCAGTGGTCATTAAGCATGCTTCCCCTCTCGGCATTAAGCACGTCTCCCCTCTCGGCATTAAGCCTACCTCCCCTCTCAAACTAGAATAACAAAGAAGTGATTGAGCCAAGCTGTCTCAAAAGACATCCCTGTTACCGGCATGCCCTGGTTTGCAGAGAGAAGAACTGTCAAAATTTAATCTAATCATTCGGTTTGTGGAGGGAACCACAAGCACGCTCTGGAGAGCACCATCGCAGGTTGAGCTAATAATGGCTTTCCAGTTGGTGATGAAGTCCACTTGAGACCATGAACAGAAATCTTTCCTACTTCGGGCCCAAAGAAATTCCACAAATTTCCTGATACGATCCTTAACTCTTGCTACCGTGCAGATTTTACCCATGAACGTACTATCATTTTGCTCCAGCCATATTTGTTGAAAGAAAATTGTGGAGTAAAACCCTCACAGCATTCAAATAAATGGAAATACAGTCACGGGAGTCTAGATACAGGAATTAGAATCGATAAAAAGATACCTCCATTTAAATTACAAATATTCTACATAAATGACTGCCATATTTACATATTGGTTCTTAAAAGATACCTCCATTTAAATTACAAATATTCTACATAAATGGGTTCCATATTTACATATTGCTTCTGAACAGGAGGTTATGTTGCTTCCAATTTTAAAAACAATATTATGGTTAATGTGGGAGTTTAGCGCAGGTTGATATTTCCAACAAGTCATCTACCTCTTATATAAGAATGTATGCATAACTGGTGCTAATGGAAAGATCAACTTTCATTTTGTGGATTAATGGTAGAGAAAATTGGCAGTTATTGATGATGGGCATTTACTCGGGTATGGTTAATCTTCACTGTTCATCATCAAAAATAAAAAGCGAATATTGCTGTGGTGTTTCTTACTATATGGTATGCTAATGAAACAGAGCAGTATCTCCATATTAGCCTCCGTTCTCATATTAATGAAGTGCCAACTTACACAATCACCGGACCTTGCTCAACTGTCATAGAATTTTGAGATGCGACCAGAAATATTACTCTCTTTTTTTGCTAAAGGGAGCAAAACCTAAAGTTATATCGTATTGACGCTGATTTCAGCTTACTTCACCCGCAATTCAACTATAATTCACACTAAAACAAACTAAGAAAGACGAAAATCTACATGAGCATAAGGCTGAAATTGGAACAAGATTTTGGTTTGCATAACCAAAATTTTGGTCTCAGATTCATCCTATAATTCAATCATCTCAAAAGAGATATTGGGAGAGAGATATTGGGCGTGATAAGAGTTACAGCCTTACAGGTTTATCCTGTGTCCCATACTGTCATAGACATTTTTTTCAATACCAGAAACCTTAACCTCTGTTTTTTCTTTTCAAATGAACATGAACCTCTGTTTTAAGTTATCCTATATTTATTCTTCCAAAAACACCCAACTGTCTTCTTAGTCATAATTCCAAAAGCCTAAAGGGAAACTGCAGGATAAAAGCACTCCTTCAATTATAAAATATATAAAAGAAGCAGGAACACATGTTAAAGAATGCCAAATCGCCTACAGCTGAAAGAGCATCATGGATCTGAACTTACTACCGGTAATCACATTCCCTTTTAGTGAATGGAAGATAAAAACCAGTAACATTTTAATGGTGGACACAGGTATACAACAATGTGATCTAACACCAAAGAAACACCGTGAAACCAGGAATATAACACCATGGATTACCCAGATAAGACAGTTTAAAAAAAAAACAAAACAAAAAGAACAAAATTCACTAAAATCACATTTCTCATATCTTATTAGTCTGAAAGACTTACTAGATCATCCAAAATACACCAAAAGAGATTGGATAATCAAGGCTACTGGTGTGAGCTTTTCCTGCTACTATCACGTTCAAATTCCCATAGTCTCCCAACACAAAACAAATAAATAAATAAAGCAAAATGATCATCTCCTAACTGTTTGAATATACTCTTGATTTCACTGTGAAAAAAATGTAAGGGACAACTAGGCATGATAATTCAACTTTCGAAGACATGAGGCAATTCAGTGGCAAATTTACGGAATCTGATAAAATAGCCATAACAATTAGGGCTTTTACCCGGAGGGTTTTGATGGGAATGGTGTTAGTCTGAGGATTGGAAAGCTTGGTAAAGGCTTTCTGAAGCATGGGAAGGCAGCCGGTGGCCATGGCTAGGGTTTCTGCCTCCTTTTCTTCTTGTGAAACCTGGTGTGAAGACGAAGAAGCTCCCATTTTCGCTTTCCTGAAAATGCGATGAAAACTGCAGAGAACAAACTTGGCGTCTGAACTAGGGAGAAATGTGCTTACTGCATGCCTTCTGTAGTTCCGGAACCAGACACATGTAAGAGAAAAAGAGACAGTTAGGAGGTTCTACTTTCACCGACGTTTAAAAAACTGATCGGTGATCCAGATCCCCTATCAGGTAAACTAATGTGCATCCGTGGACCGGCGGTCCGGATCAACGAGTGAATAGGCCAATAATAAATAAATAATAAAATAAAAATTGAAAATATGTTCGGGGTAAGAATCAATATATTTTTACTAATTTTTGTTCTGGATTGAACGATTCTGATCCAAATCAATATTTTTCTAATTTTCAATAAAAACTACGAACCCCAACAAATATACTAGGTGTTAACCTTGAATTACATTTGGGATGTGCATATTGTTAGGCAATGACCATTACAAAGATGTTTGAAATAAATTGTAGGCGTGTTATTTACGATTTTATCTTCTTTGAATGTTATTTTTATTACTTCGAATATTTATTGAAAATCACTTGTTTATAACTGGAAACAGCTAAAATTAACAAAAAATTGTTACCAAAATTAAATAATTAAATAATATATTTTTTATAATACAAGGTGTGAACTAAGCAGCCAACCATATAATATTATCCTGACTATAAAAGTGAGGTGCATCTTGAAAATTCATCAAAATAGTTGTTTTGATGTTTGAAAACATTATAATTCATCACCTCAATTTTGACATGTATGGATATTAGTGCATCTTGTAATATATTTTTTAAACAATTTATTTTCAAGATTTTTAAGTGTTTATAAATCTATTAAATCACGCACAATTTTTTAAACTTTAAATTTTATAATTAATAAGGGAGACAGATTTTCAGACCAAAATAAAAGCTTTGTACATTAGAACTCATCTTCTAGATGGGTTTAGAGGTGTACTTTAATTTCTTAAGGTATACATCTTATATAAACCACACCAGATCTTGGGACTGTATGATAGATTTTTTCTAAACAGACTGTCTGCCCTCACAAGAGCACTTTATCAGGATTTTTTTTTTGTTCTCGTAGTATTGTCATGACTCATGATATTGTAGCTCTTTTAATCTAGTAGTCAAGCAATATAGAAGTAACCAAAAAAAACAGTTAAATTTAGAGGTGCATTTTGATTATTTAATGTTGCAACTTTATATAAACCATATCCATTTTCTTTCACTAAAAACACATATTTAAGAAGATTTTTTTAGTTCACAATTTTGGGAACCATATAAGATTTACAGTATGATTATTTTTACAATACAAAAATTTTTAATTTTGATTTTTGTGACACTTATATCTAGCCCTGCAAAATACTACCTCTATTCAATATTGAGGCATTAATTTTTTTAAGTGCTTTATTTCAAAAAATCTTTTTGCTAATCTCAAAATTTGAGGTCCAAACAATATCCCTAGAGTAATAGTATACTCCCACATAAAAGAATATTTTGGGAAAGAGAATAATGTAGTGGAGACCCTTTTTGGATTTTTTAACAGGGGAAAAAGTTTAAATAGAGCTGAGGCTCTAAACAGTCAAATTAGCGCATACTGAAAAACTTTTATCAGAAAAGATTGTTTTGATGCTTAAATATCTTCAAATTGATCATCTCGACATCAAGATACATGGACATGAGAAAAAAATGGATTTCAAGTTTTAAAAATAGTGTATTTTGTAATACAATTTTGGACCATCAATTTTCAAGATTTTCAAGTTTTCATAGACCTGTCGATCTACATTATTTTTAAGCTTTCAACTTCACAAATAAAGATGAAAATATATTTTAGGGCTATCACTAAGATTTCTAGTATTGAAATCTTATTTCTTGATACTATTTGAAAGTAGGCTCTAATTTGATTGTTTAGAGTAGGGCTCTATACAAATCACCCCCTTTTCGAAAATGACAGTACTACGAGATAATTAAGCCTTAAAAAAACTATTTATATATTATTTTTCAAAGTTTGTTGTCCTTTGGCTAGATGAAGAGACAGCGTCTGTTCATTCAAACAGTAGACACGCTGGAAACGAAAAGTATGGTCCCTAGCGACTCATAGCGTGTCCATTTTTTTAAAACCAATTGCTTGCCTTTGGAACTGGAAAAATAATTATGCTTGCGGCCAATGACTGGAAACACGAATATCCGTGGTTTAGAGTGCTTATCCCACGGATTTATGTGCGGTATAGTTTTTAAAAATGTTAGAAAATTATTTATTTTTAATACGAGAAGGTCATGTCGGATAGATTTTAAACCTACTTATCATAAGAGTATCATTGACTAAATTCAAAATTTAAAAAAAGAAGTTTAAACTTTATGAGATCCCATGCCATCAAATTGACAAGCAGTAATTGAAACATCCTTATAACAACTATAAATGGTCTAATAGTATATAATTCTATATAAAATAAAATAAAAGAAAGTAATTAGGGACACTTAGGGACCTAAAAAAATATTATACAGATTTAAAATATAAAAAGTATTCGGTTCATCGGCCGACTCACCTATTGATGCGCATCCCCCTTCATAATCCATATAAAATATAGGTTTTGGATCTAAAAGTTCAGGGTTTGCTAATCTCAATTGTGGTGATAGTCTTTAATCTTGAATTTTCTTTATGAAAAATAAAAATAATATTTTTTATTCTTTTTTTTCAACCATGAATTTTAGAGGAGGCACCTTTTCTTTTTTTTTTTTATGTCCATCTTAGAGATGGATCGTTTGATGCGCAAATGGACTCACAGATCTCAATGAGTTGTTGTCATAATAACAAATGGACCCACAGATCTTAATGAGTTGTTGTCATAATAACCGTGTCAATGAAAAACTCGGGTTTTAGGGGGAGATTGGGCCAATTTTTTCCCCGGACTCGTTGTGATTTTTAGTCTGTGGCGATTTTCTATCCACATCATGGAGTTTTCAAATTTTACTTCGGACAAAAACAAAGAACAAATGCATTTGGTCGATCGCCATGCACCACTCTTAATGTGGAACGCACAACACATATGTCCTCTAAACATTCTTTCTTTTCTTCTTTGTTTTTTAACGACCGGGTGACTCTTGTTAAGTTATCTCAAATATATTTATTTCAAATCATTTTTTTTTTATTTTGCCACTCATCCATCTCAACATCTTCATCTAAGTTACATTCATCCTATGGATATATTGTTTCTTGGCCACCCAACATTCTGCCTCATAAAGTAACATTGATCTCATAGTTGTCCTATAGAACTTCCCCTTCAACTTTATTGGTATGCCGCGATCAAATAAAAATCTAGTTGCACATTTGCAAAAAACAATATAATACATTGTAATTTCAAGTTTCGATATTCTCCAAAGTGAATTTTAATTGCCAATTTGAACAAGTAGATTTCAAATTTTATTTAGAGAAGCCACTTCGAACACAATCTATTCAAGGGGAAACGAGAAAAAATAAATAAATAAATAAAAATAAATATATATATATATATATATATATATATATATATATTGGTTAGGGGGAGAAGAAAAAAAGATAAACATAATCCTCATGTCACTTACACAAATGAACCAATACTATGTCGTGTCCAAATGGATGAATTAAGAGTCTTCTTAAAGGGTATGGTTTGTATAAGGTGTCAATCTTAAATAATCAAAATAAGACTCACACCTAGGTCTTGCTAAACGATGCAATTTTGATGCCAAAAAATCTTAGGATAGACCGAAATTCTACCATTTTAACCCTAGTCATAAAATTTAAAGCTTCAAAAATGTATAGGTCGAGCAGATCTATAAACACTATTTTTTATAAAAAATAGAGATACACTATTTTTAGGACTTGATAAATTTTTTTTTTGTCATATTTATATATCTTGAGGTCAAGGTGATAAATTGTAGGGCTTTTCAACGTCAAAACAACTTTTTCGAGTGGACTTTTTATGTGCACATTACTTTTGCAATATAAGATGGACACCCAATATAAACTTTTTCCCTTCTTAAATAGGTTGAATCAAGAACTAAGTCAATCAGTGTCTTTGCGACTTTAGTGGAATTCTGCTTCAACTTGGGAAAAGTATACAATAATATTATTACCTTTGTACAAGGAGGTGACGTTTATCTTTGGCCATTGGATTCAAAATCTGATGGGTAGGGTTGTTTTGTTAGCCAATCTCAAAATTCAAATGCAAATTTGATGAATTTTGTGGTACTACCTAATTTCCATATTGCTAGAATTGACATCAAATGACTACATTGATTATGACCTCTTTATATAAAAAATAAGTAATCTTTTATGACAATGTACCACTATGGTGAAAGATGTGATTAGCAACTAATGTCCATACGTACATCTTTTACAACTTCTAAGCGCCATCTTATTTTGTATGCGAAATTATCTACATGTTCAGAAAATCAGTAAAAGAACTTTAAAGGTATATTTGGTATCTGAGGAAGTTGTTTTCTTGAAGACTCTTTGAGAAATTGGAAACCTGATAAAAAGATCCAATTAGAAAACTTTGGCTGAAAGCTGAGAACCCTTATTTGGTAATCTCTAAAAAAAACTCAGGCTAGAGCTTAGGCAAAGAGAGATTGAGAGGGGAGAAAGATCGTAAGGTTAGAAAAATAAAATAGGGACGATGAAGGTCTTGTGTTTCCCCATTTTCCTGAGAAATCGGCAACACAACCTTTGGCGTGCGTTGTTGTTTTCCCCAATAATAGGGAAAGCGTGGAAATGCAGGGCTCTCTGTATTTCTATTCTTTTCTCCATTCCCCAATAACAGAAATAACAGAAAATGTGATAACTAAGAAAATATGTTATTTTCTCATGTTTTCTTCGTTACCAAACATGGCCTAAGTTAATGTTCACAAAACAATAAAGTTGTATATGTCTTTTATAAAACGATTAAAAGCATGGGGCATAAGTAAGGTATACCAAGCAAATAATGTTCCATCGGATGCTATCTTAAGAGCTTTAGTCAGTGTTTCTAGACTAGGCCTGGTCCACTCGGACTTACCCTCTTAGGAAGCCAAGTTGC